TGGGATATTTTTTCTTGTTATTATTATTTCACTAAGCTCTTGATTTGGTTGCTGGCATTTCCTTCCACTTTTTGCTTTGGGACTGGAAGCAACGTGTGGATTTAGAGAGAAGCTCAAGCAAGGGAATGGAGAGACAATATGAGACATTCAGTAGTTAACTGAATAGGGCCCCTGAGGGGTGGATTCTGCTGCCGGGTACTGCTTGTAGAGGAGGGTGCCGCTTATCATGGGACTGATACATTCTCTCAAATGCAAGGGCTACATGCCAGAATAAAACCATAAAAAGGAATAATCACATCTGCAGGTGCAGGTTTGCACAGATCTGTCAAGGCAGGTGTAAACACAGTCCCACCTCCACTGCTCTCTGGCCAGTGCTCTTCAGTTGCCAGTTATGGGGTGTATCCTGCTCATAGGTCTACTCACCACTGCCAAAGCTGAGGAGTGAGACTTATGAGTTTGGCATTAAAATTGTATACTATTAAGAGCATTCAAACTTTATAGTTTTAGTCTAAGGCTTAGCATGTGCTGGATCACATTGCTCAAACTTCTTTGCAGTTATGAAAACTATTAGTTTCTTTATATGTATTTTATTTTCTTTAAAGGAAAGATGGGATTATTAACCACTAAGCACATCCAGTAAACTGAGTATCAGGAGAGCTATTGACCAAGTCTGGTGAGATGTGATAAAATTGCATGGGTTAAATTATGCTCCTACTTTCACAAAAGAAGAAGGGGCAGACTCCCAGTGCAGAATAGCTAGCTGCTGAAGAAAATTCCATTTAATTAAAGGGCAGACTACAAATAAAGGCAGATGCTGAAGTTTGAAATATTTTTAGGGCTTCATAAACCAAAAAGTAAATAAAGATTAATCTTTCCATTTTCATGAAGAAGCCCCGCTATTCTTGATGCTGCTCTCATCCATGCTGCCATAGGAACTCTATTCAAGCCAACAGCCCCTTACCAAAACCTATGGAGCTGCAGTATAGTGCACGCTTACTGACAAATAAAGTAATTAATTTCCATGAAAGGCACCAAGATACAGCTTTTTGAAAAACTCTGTTTGCCCTCATGCTACTTACAGCTCTGGTGTCCTCCAGTAGCTCAGCAGAGGCTTAGCTTTGCTGAGCTGGGCCTTGTTGGCTTCTCAGGGGGGTACTCACCCAGCAAGGAAAATGAAAGCCTAAACATTAGGACTGATGGGATGAGACAGCAACCTAGATGGGTACTTGGGGAATAAAATACACTTGGCTGCATTACTTTCATCTGATTTACCAGTGCTTTTAAATAAATGGTCCCCACATATCCCTTGCAGCCAGTGAAACCCAATCTGATGCAGCCAAATGACCTCTGTTTGCCACGCTGCAGAAGAATTATTTTGGGGTGTTATGGATATGTTTGGTAAGGGAGTGCAAATAGTAAATGTTATGCTGGAAGAAACTGCATGAGGAAACCCAGTGGACTGTTATGTGCTTGGGCAGATATATAGTTTTGACATACTGCTTAGGAAATGGAGTCCCCTGATCCTGCAGACTGGTCGTTTTTTGAAGGCCTATTGAAATCGGAGTGCTTGTCCGCGTGATTAAATGCCTCCAGACTTGGCATCATTGATGACATAGGCATATCTTTCTCATGAATTGTAAGATAGATGTTGTGGTGGCCTGGGGTGCTGGAGTAATGACAAGGCTATCATTAGGGATATGTTGGAAGTTGCATCATCATTTTGTAATGTGCAGGCTGAGGAAATGAGGCTGGAGCCAAGCAATATATCAGCATTCATCGCTGATATATAGCTGACCTCTCCATTCTGAGCCCTTATTAACTGCCTTAAAATGTAGATCAGAGATTATTACTCCTTTTAAACTAGAGATCTTCCTGTGTGTGGTGGACTTAGAGGGTCTAGAGTGTTGCCAGCATATGATGTTTTCATTCACTACTGTAACCTTTTTTCTTTTTAAATTTTTCTTTTTCCAAACGAAATTTCTCAGGCCATTTAGTTTCACAGCTCAGCATTTTGGAAATAAAATGAGGATAAGGAGATGCTTTGACTGCAGCTTTAAGGCCAGGATCTGTGCAGGAGCCTGGCCCTGCCTTGGTGCAGGTCCCGTGGGCCAAGAGAGGCCTCAGTCCGTCATTTCCAGGACATTTCGAAGTCACAGATCATGGTAGATCAGGGACATGATGTTTCATGTGAGCCTTGGGCGTAGGGCACCCACCCCAGCCCTGCTGAGACCTCACCAGGGGATGGCCACCTGCCACACACCTCCTCATGCCCAGCTGACAGCGCACCAGGCTTGTCAACCTGGTGGTAGGAAAAGTTCCAAACACCTGAGATAAAATGAAGCTCTGGAAATGTCATCACTTAAAAGAAATTAAAAATTAAATAAAATCAAACTATCAAATGTAAGTGCCAGTGCTGCTGATTTCCTTTTGACCCCTCCCTGGCCTCACCCCAAGGATGTGGATGCAGGTGGGCTCCATTTTCTGAAGGAGGGCATCAGAGGCACGGGTCGTGGCCGCTGTGAGCTGTGTGGTTCACACACAGAAGGCTGCTGCAAAGAGGAGGAGGAGAAGGAGGAACCGATTCATTCCCCAAGGGCTGTTTATGCTTTCGGCTCTTTTCTCAGGCTGAAGAAACCGGGTGTCGCTCTCCCGTGACATCTGCAGCTTCACCGCAGCTGCGTGCTTTCATTTTCTCACTCCACAATTCCTGGAAATCTCTGTTTTCCCTGAGCATGGCTGGTCCATGAGCATGACAGCTGAACTATTCACAGGGTTTAAGAGTCCCTGATTGCTCCTCAGATGATGGACCAGAACAGCTTCATCGTTATTGCTTATTCCAGAAAAATAACATGCCCCTTTTTATATGCACATGAAGGATATCTGAACATCAATTTGTAAATAACATGCATGTTTACTGGTCACTAAATAATGCACCATGGACCTGGGGGTATTTGGTACCGTTCAAATCCCTCTGAAGTGGCTCAGAACAGCAGATGCCTCATTTCCCACCTCAAAACCCTCTTATACTGACAGCCTCCTTGCCCCAAAACCTCTTTTGCAAACAGCCCAAATAAGGATCTAACATAATGCTGCTGATAGAAGCTTAATTGTCCCAAGGTGTCTGCAGAAACACAAGACACTTAGCGGTTGTTTTCTATTGTTCTTTCCTTGGTTATGCATTTATTTTAAATCTATCATCATTTATTTGGCATTCGGAACAGTATCATTACAGTTGGTTAAGAACGGTTGTTTGCGGTACTAGGTGTACAAAATCAATTGCACAGTTTGATCCAGAGCTTTACAGAAAAAAGTGCCTAAACGTAACAGGAGAAAACAAGTGGCTGGAAGAGGTTAGGTAGTGAAAGTAAAAAAAAATAAAATTTATTTTTTTTTTGCTTTAAGAGACTTTTCAAAAGGTTAAACTTGTAACAAACATAATTAATTTAGCTGAGGAAGGCCCACCAAGAAATAAAAATATACTTTATTTTGCTCTGTAATAATCTTCAGCATAATTCTGCCCTTACTGTAACCTCTGCAGCTTGAAGAGCTGCTGTCAGATTAGAAATCATATTGAAAAGATTTCTTACCAGCATTGCAAATAGCAGATTATTAAAATGGAAAGGGAGTAATGCAAATCTTGAACTTGCCAAGTATGCTTCGCACAGTTGATGCTCTGCATATGATTTTAAGCACCAAGTTTGTGGGCAAGACTTCTATGTGGAAATTCAAGCAAGGAAATCTTTGCAGATTCTGGCTTCACAGGGAAGCAGACACATGGGTTTTCCTCTTGTTTGTGACAACTTCTGAGATAATTTTGCAGTTTTCTTGTTTACAACGAGCTTAATTGCTTTTGTTGAGTATCAAGTTCTATGAGGGATTATTTTTTAGGAAAAAGGAATTCTCACCAGGAGGCTGAGTTGCCCCATTCATCCATTAGAAGGGAATATTGTACTTGTGTTTTAAGTTAAAAATCAATAGATCGTGTTTCCTTGGCAATTTAGTATTTATAGAAATGTTTCCATTGTTTTTAGAGTGGAAAAAAACCCAACCCAAATGAAAACAAAACATGTTTACAGTGATTGAATCTAAAGGCAAATTTGGCTCAAGTATAAGAAGACTTTATAAAGGTTTCTAACCCTTACAAGGACATTGGTTAAGAGGAGTTGTCATTCACTGTACAAATAAAGAGCTGCAACCAGGGGTTATGAATGGATTAATACACTAATTTTTTTTTTCTATTTATTTTCTTCTATCTTCCAGGTTTATGACAGGCCACAAAAACATTCTGCTCTGCACTATGATCCAGGCCTCCAACAAGACTTCACCGGTGACACCTTAAAATCAAAGCACCAGCAGAAAAGTAGCAACCAGCACCATCTTGACTGGTCGGCGAGCTCCGACACCGTATCCGTTTCTCAAAGTTGCTTCATCAACACAGAACCCAGTCGAGAAGCTGTCAGTGCCACCAAGGTCTCTGGTCCAGAGCCAGGAGTTTCCTTCAGCAAATCCCAAGTAAAGAAGTCCTGTGTCAGCAGCACGTGGGGGCAGCTCTCAGCCAGTAGTAAAGAGCTTGCCATTTGCAGTGCAGTCTCATCACCCAACAACATCAACGTGGTTGCCCAGCCCAGCAGCGCCTCTGAGTGCAATGGGCTTTTGCCTCTCTGTGATCAAGAGGGAGGTGTGCAGCTGGAGGCCCCTGATCAGCCCCCCGGGAGTACAAAGAAGAAATCCAGCAAAAAGGACTTGATAAGTCAAACCATCCAAACCGTGGACATTGACTGGGTGAAGAGTGCTCCGAAAGCATATGACAGCAAATCTCATGACAGCATGGAAGGGAAAAAAGAGTCTTACTCCATGGAAAGTGTGTTGGATACATCACCTTCAAAGCAGAATCCCATTTCTGCTAGCAGTTGTGAAAGTGATACCAGTCACGTGCGAATTACTATCCCGATAAAGTCTCCAACAACAGATACATCTAGCCACAAAAGGAAAAAAAGGCAATCCACAAAATCTTCCATAGAGAAAATTATCCAGGAGAAAAGCCTGCCTTCTGGACTTGCTATGAGCAGTGAAGTAGCAAACAGGACTATGTCTCAACCTGAGGGGATTAAAAAAGATATTCGAGCCACAAAGCCAGGGAAAGTGATTGAACATGAGTCTCCCTTAGTAGGTATTGACAGTGGTATGCTCACTGACAAAGCTTCACCCAACAGTGCCACCAGACTCAGAAAATCTGTAGCTGTGACATCCACTCTCCTACCCACTGATCTTCCCACAGCTGGCAAATTATCTGAGGTCCAGCACCCCAAACTTGCAGCTAAGCGGAGATGGACCTGCAGCAAACCTAAGTCTATCCTTCGGGAGACCTCCATGACAACATCTGAGAAGCTGATGGTGGAGCCTCCTTCAGCTTATCCCATCACACCATCCAGCCCTCTGTATACCAATACAGACAGTCTTACTGTGATCACACCTGTCAAGAAAAAAAGAGGACGACCAAAGAAACAGCCTTTGCTCACTGTTGAAACCATTCATGAAGGAACCTCCACCAGCCCAGTCAGTCCAATCAGTCGTGAA